GTTACTTTTTTTTACCAGCTGGGTAAAAAAGTATTTAGCTACAAAGGTGTCATTTAAAAATAAGGAAGTGATCATTTATTACTGATACTCCACTGTTGCTCTTTGTGTGACTTATTTATAAATTTTAGAATGAAAAGCTGTAATTTCTGAGAGAGCAGTGATTCATCTGGCTAATTTGTTTCAATTGTTATGGAGGTAGCTTTACCACAGAGGCATTTCAGTTAGATTGACTGGTTTTTTACTTTGTTAGTAGACACAGTTTTTATCTAAGAGGACTCTGCACATATAAACTTTCATACATGGAATTAGGTTAAGATTTGATTTACAGGAAATGGGACACTGCAGTTCAGGGGTAGCTCTTTAATTATTTAAATGCTACATTTACTTACAAAATTCTTTCCTGGACAATCAATTCCCCATTTTTGATGGGTGTGATGATTTATCTTGATGTAAGAGAACATGTGTGCTCTCTCTGCCCCGATCTGGAGGATTACAGGGTGTGGCAAAGTAGGTTTACAGTTGTGGGTATGCAAAACAGTTTATTCTTGTATTATTATTTATGAATTATTGTATTATTTTCCACAGGAACAACTGTAAACCTCTTTTGCCCCACCCTATAGTGTTTGTATTATTGTCTCTTGCTTCCTGTAAACTCTAAACTTTCATTTGTCTGGATTTGTCTGTGTATCTCAAGAATCCACTGTACTTTCCTGCCTTATATGCTTTGTTCTCTCTGTTCTCATCTTCATCTGTTAAGAATTTTCCAATCCTTTGAAACCCAGTAGAGGTTTTATTTCTTCCAGTTGTGTCTGCTAATTTCATATTAGTCAGAAATAAAAGCTTCATTGTTTGCCCATTCAAAACATTTAGTGTGGGCCATATTTATAATATCTCCTTTATTTGATTTCAAGCTCTTTATGGAACTGTGTCTCATTAAATCTTCTATCTTGCATTAGCCTTATACTTAGTGCATACTGTATTAATATTTGTTTAATGGAACATTTTCCCTATTTGAAAATATTTAGCAGATAGTTAAGCCTCTTGGTTGCAAGTAACAGAAAACAAATCTACCTAGTTTAAGAGGAAGTGGAAATTTACTGGATTCGTGCTAATGTATTCTGAGGAATCCTAATATATAAAAACCCAGGATCTGTAACATCCAAAGCGACCAAAGGCCCGACCGACCAGAAGTCAGTCCTGCAGTCAATGCTGGGTTGCTGTGGCGACCCAGCACTGATGGCTGCCAGTGTGGGGATGGTGACCCAGCACTGATTGCTGAGGGGGCTGTGGATCAGGCCCTAAGAGAGGCCTGGAGAGAGAAGCAGGGTCTGATCCGTAGCCTTCATGGCAGCTGTTGATCAGCCCTTGCCTCTCTCTTTCTCTTGGGGCCTGGCTAGCTGCCAAAGCCTCTCTTTCTCTCAGGCCTCTGCTGGGGCTGCTGATCAGCCCGCCTCTCTGATCAAGCCCATTGATAGGCCTGGAGATGCTGACTGGCATAGAAACCGACCAATCAGAACCAAATCTAGGTGAAATGCGAGGAGCCAATGGCTGCCTAGGAGGCGGAGCTTTTGACGCTGATTGGCATAGAAACTGACCAATCAGAACTTAATCTGGGTGAACTGCAAAGGTAGAACCTAAGGTGGGGGCTGAGGAGGGGTTTTAAGGGCAATAGCTGTTTGGTGTAAGGCGAAAGAAAGCGGTTCAATTTTTTAATAACCAGTTTGGCAGTATAGTGCATAGGGCTGGCTATCAGTCCAGATATAGGGATTATGTATTTTTGTCTGCCAAGAGCATCTCCTGATGAAAAAGGCTTCCCTCCCACTCCCATTTAAGCAATCCTATCCTATATAATCTGCCTATACTACTAAAAGGGTAATATGCTAATTAAACCAGGTCGACAGGCCATCTTCCAGACGTCTGACTTCCTTCCAGACAAAGCCATAATGGTGGGGGCCAAGGCAGAGACCGTTAGGGGCTATCAGCCGGCAAGGGAGGGCAGTTGGGGGCGAGATCAGGCCAGCAGGGAAGGGTAATTGGGGGCAACCAGGCCAGCAGGGGTGGGAAGTTGGGGGCAGGATCAGGCCAGCAGGGGAGGGCAGTTAGGGGTGATCAGGCAGGCAGGCAAAGCCAGTTAGGGGCGATCAAGCAGGCAGGCAGAGGGGTTAGGGGCAATCAGGCAGGCAGGCAGGTGAGCGATTAGGAGCAGCAGAGTCCCAGATTGCGAGGGGGATGTCCGACCACCTGTGGGATCGGACCTAAACTGGCGGTTGGACATCTCCCATGGGGTCTCCGATTGGAGAGGGTGCAGGCTGGGCTGCGGGCCGCCCCCCCCCCCCCCCCCCCCGTGCATGAATTTCATACACCAGGCCACCAGTCCTATATAATAAAAGCCTAATACGCTATGTGTCCAGTCGTCCATTCAATCAAAGTATAATATGCTAATGATATGCTAAGGCTGCTCAACCACTCGCCATGATCTGCACTGACCACAAGGGGGCAGACAGTAGGCTGGTTGACCAGTCGCAATGATGTGCACTGACCACCAGGGGGGCAGACTCTCCGACTGGTAGGGTAGCTTGCTGCTGGGGTCTGGCGAATCGGGACTGAGTGAGACGGGCCAGACACATCCTGGAGACCTCCCACGGTCCCCTTCTGGCTGGCCAACCTCCTGCATCCCTCCCTGACCCCAATTGTGCACCGGTGGAGTCCCTCGGCCTGGCCTATGCCCTCTCGCAATCCGGGACCCCTCAGGGGATGTTAGCTGGTTTTGGCCTGATCCCACAGTGGGAGCACCACTCAGCCAGAAGCCGGGCTCACTGACCCTCTCGCAATCCGGGACCCCTCAGGGGATGTTAGAGAGCTGGTTTTGGCCTGATCCCACAGTGGGAGCACCACTCAGCCAGAAGCCGGGCTCACTGAGGCCCACCCACTAATCCTCCCCATTGTCCCTAACTCCTGTCCTAGGCTGAGGAGCCTGGGAAGAGTGGAAGGACCACTCTTCTTCCTTCCACTGGGGCTCAGTCCCATAGATAGAAGCTGGCTCAGGTAGGGTCAGTGGCAGCTGGGGATGGTCACAGCGTGAGTGTCCAGTGTCGGGGATCGAGGAATGTAGCTGGGCCTGAGGCCAGGAATGTGAGGCTGTGGCCTATGGTCCTAAAGTTCTCCTGATGTGGGATTAGGGGGTTGGAAAGTGGGAAGGGCAGAGACAGGGAGTGTGGAGGGGCCCAGTGCTTAGAGTTTGTGGGGGTTCACCCACTTGTCAGTGCCCCTGTACAGGAAGCCCACTCTTATTCAGAAAAATGGCAACAGTGCTGAGGTTGTGAAACGCTGTTCTAGGATGAAATGCAAAACTTTAGGGAACTAAATGAAAAGACATTTCAGAACAAGAAGATGAATTTAAATTTGGAGTTATCAAGTAATGTCTAAAGTTTTTAGTGCCAAGGATCTTAATTTTCAAACAAAATTATTCTTTTTTTATGGCTTATTGTTAATTTTTATTGAGAAGCTGTGTTATAGGGGAAACATGTGACCACAGGGCTTATTTATGGATTAGCAGCTGCCTACAGTAATTTAGGCATGTAACTGAGATTGTGAAAAGGGTAGAGGAACTAAGCTATTAATTTGAGGTTTTTTTACTTACTTTTTCTTCTTTTAAATGTTCCTAGTAACAGGTGACTACCTAAGCAGTTTTTTGAAAGAGATATGGGGATTGGTGATATCCTTTTTAGCTCTTAAAAAAGATGTAACTATAAAATCCTCTAAAAGGCCAAATGTGATAAACCTTCTGTCTTATGTAGATTAGCAAATGGTGAAAATTCTAGTGCTACCCTCCACGCACCAATGCACATGCGTACACATATACCCACAGATAATAATCCTTATATGTACCGTGGCCTCTTCACTCTCTTTAGCCAAGTGCCTATTTCAGTGCCAGTGACACAATCCATGTTGATCCATCAAAATAGAGCCCTTCCCGAGGGACCCATACTACACTATGAAATTATATTGGCACAGAAGATCCATTTAACTAAATATACAATTTACATTTAGTAAATTTAAAATGTATAGGTATTAAATTAAAAGGGGCTACTAATATACTGAAAAATTAGTGTTGAAGGATGAATTGTTGCTGACAGTAGAACAACATGGGACTGACTTGCAAAACCAAGAGATGGGAAAATAAAATTCATACCCGATTTAAGAATTTAAGTGGGCAAAGACAGAGAACATCACAGAAGAAAGTTTTGATTTCCCTGTCCAGTTAGGCTATGTGATGTGAGTTTCTATTTGTAATCCAGTTTTCAAAATATTATTTTGGTAGTTTAGAAATTTGAGTCGGGGGAAGAAGAAATATTTTAGGAAATGTTATGAAAAAGAGGCAGTGACTTAATATTCTTATGTAGTTCCTGATGATATTAGCAATTTAAAACTAGTCTCTGGAAAATATTATATTGAATTTGTGCTGGAAAATCTAGTTTTCATCTTTACCCTTGGAGACTCTTTTGGTAAATTAAGTAGTTTACACATGAAGAAGCAATTTTCTTTGGTTCATAAGAAATATTGAATATTATTTACCTCACATTAAATTTCAAAATCCAAAAAAATTTACCTGTTTTCCAATAGGTGTTAGGTTGTAGTGACTTTCATCAGCCATTTAGGTTGGTGTTACTAGTTCAGTTTTCAAAACTGACTATCTGGCACATTCCTTTAGTTTACTGAAGGAAGTTTGAATATTTGTACCTAATTTGGTGGATTCTATGAGAGAATATCTTGCTTACAGTTGGTTTAATCCCATCTTGACTTTGGTTATATGGCCTGATACTTTGGATTTCATGTCAAAATAGAAGTTTAAGCTACTGTATGTACAAAGTTTAAGATACTGTACGTTTAAAGTTATTTACTAATTATAATTATAAGGGAATAGAATAATAGACATGTATAAATAAGTACTTGAATAAAGAATTCTTCAAATTTAATTGCATATTTCTTAATTTTTTCAGACAAGTTCTACAGAAATTTTGGAGTATTCATCAGATAGTGAAAGCAAAGATAACTCAGAGAATGGCTTCTTCAATGAGTCCGAATCCTCTCGCAAACACCCCGTGGAGTTTGGATCAGATGGAGGAAAAGTTATGGAGAGACGGGTAATCCCAAGGGTGAAACCTACAGACAGCATTTTGTATACCCCCCAGAAACAGATGAAGTTGCCTAGGACTCCTGAAAAATCAGCAAATAAGAAGCAGCTTTCAAGGTGAAATTACACCTTTTAAAATGTTTTTTTAAAGCTTTTCTCTTTCTTTAACAACCCACATATCTAAAATGGTAATTTAAAAATGCTTACCCATTTTCTTGGGAAGGAAAATTGTGAGAATAGAATTGTAATTTCTATAAGTAATTATGGAAGTCTTAAGTTCTTGAGATGATGTATGGAGTAGCTCACCCAAGTTGAGCATTCCATTTCAGTCATACCCAGCTTAGGTGACTGCTTTCTTTAATGGAGCTTGGCTGTTTGGGTTTATCAAATTTTATTGAGCATCAGTGTTTCAGGTGATGTCTTAGACAATTAAGACAAGTAAATGCCTATTTTCAAGTAATTTATAGTCTAAAGAGGGAAATAGAAATACATATGTACTATTCAGATTACTTTAATGAGTATGGTTATGGATATTGACTAGGGAAACACTTGGAAATACAAAGACGCACGAGAGAGCAAAGACTTGTGGACAGGAAACAGGCTGGTGTGCATGTCAGAGGTGTACCATTCAGGACATGTTCCAACACTGTGTAATCCATTGTCTCTTTGTGTTTTAAACTAGAACAAAACAATAAAACCAAAAACCCAATGAAAACAAGAAGGCAAATTTGTGGAAAGCAGTGTTTCAAGGAAAAAGGATTTCCAATAGGAAGAATCAATGTAGCTATGAAGAGCACAGGTTTTGGATCTGTTTAGGATATGTCTGCACCAAGACATGGCAAGAAGGGTGATTCACACTGAGACTCCAGTAATGTTTGTGGGCTAGTAGGAAAGAAGCCAGGGACTAGGGATCCAGGAGTGCCCAGAACTCAAGGAGTGGAGATAGTTTTGTGACTCCTCGACTAGGAGGAGGGATTCAACGTAGGAAAGTGGGGATATTACCTCTAGTGGCTTGAAAGGAATCCAGTGTCTAAAGAGATTTCAGAGAAAAGGAGAGACAGATTTAGACAGATGTTCAGGATAATTGCTCTGTCAGTGTCCCAAGAAAGGAAGCAGGGAGCAAGGCCTGGGGCGGAGAGGCCTGTCTTGAGCGTAGGAGTGGAGGGAAAAGTATAAGGATATGACCGAGTCTGTTTGGATAGATGAAGTATGTTGAGTCAGTTCATGCCTGTTTACTATATACTGTATATATCATTTTACTTATTTACTTGTTTGTTTATATTTAACATAAAATATGACAGAAGCCCGTATGCTCAGAGTTTGGATGTTATAGCCTCAAAAAAGAATGGTGGTCGTTTGTAGTAGTCTCTGGAGAGAACAGGAAAAGAAGCCAATTAAAGTGATTCAAATGTCCTTGTTGAAATCAGTTGTGTACAATTATAGCCAGTGATGTTCCCAATCCTATTAAGACAGCGGTTCTCAACTTGTGGGTTGCCAACCTGTGGGTCGAGACCCCTTTGGGGGTTGAATGACCCTTTCACAGGGGTCACCTAAGACCATCGGAAAACACATATATAATTACATGTTGTTTTTGTGATTAATCACTATGCTTTAATTATGTTCAATTTGTAACAATGAAAATACATCCTGCATATCAGATATTTACATTACGATTCATAACAGTTATGAACAAAATTAAAGTTATGAAGTAGCAACGAAAATAATTTTATGGTTGGGGGTCACCACAACATGAGGAACTGTATTAAAGGGTCACGGCATTAGGAAGGTTGAGAACCACTGTA